ATCGCACCGGCTCGCCTGGTGCGTTCCAGCCTGGGTTCGCATTGCATTGCTGCAAAAAACGCATAAAAAGCATTTTCTAGTTTCCTGAGTTAACTCCCTTTTCTTTCACTCCTCTCTCACTCTGCTTAGTCTTCCTCTGTTTTCTCCTTCTTTCGCATGCCTGTCTTGCAAACTAGTTACACGACTGTTCAGTACATAGCAGGTAGGAGATTGTACTAATGATTTCCGCTCCTACCCGCACGCGTAATTCGGTCTGTATTTACTGCTAAGGGATGAAACACAGACGTATCGTAAAATGTCTTCTCACACATGACACATAAGTCCAATCCTTTTATTCTATTTCATTGGCCTCATCCCCTAGTGTGGATTCTGCTGGCCAGATATGTCTGAAATCGCTTCCAAGGAAAGCTGCATATCCTGAGTATTTCTGCAGGACAGTCGATCGCATCAAAGAAGCAACTTAATACTAAACCGAGATTTCATTCACATTGTGCTTTGCCCAGTACATATCGCGCAGTCGCTTGTGTGCGCTCAATGGGCAGTGCAGGTTTCCACAAATTTCAGGACGTCATTAGACGTGCCTACAAAATCATCGAGTCACCTATTGATCGTCACAGTTTTTCGCTACCATCTCATAATTTTTTACGCAAAAAAATGAAAGTTGGAAGTATATTCGAGCCTGAAGGTTTGTTATACTGCCTTTTAGGGACAACATAACTTCAGCAATTATAGTATGCATTTCAAATGTTTGCAGAACTTAGCTGCTCGTTTTAGAGTGCATAGAAGTTGAGGAAACATCAAATTAGAAGTGAGACACGAAGTCATTAAATATTACTGCTATCAAACCGCACGGGGATATTATTGCTGCTAGACTGGTTAAGTATATTGCATTTCTCAGCATTGTGGATCCCAAGTATGAACAGAAAGTGGTATGAATTTCGGGCAAGACCGAAAAAAATCCCGGAATTAAAAATAATTTCTGAGACAAGAAGCCTACTGCAAGGGCGTCATATATCCCGATGTCATTCATTTCCGGATGAAAATGAGATCATCCAGAAAACTGTGCAAATATTTTTGAAATTGGAAAATGTTCTCAAATTTAAGCTCTGTTCTGGGGATTTATTTCGATCACTGGAGTCTCGCTTCTCTCGTTATCCGGTCTCTTCTTCCTACCGGTCATAAAAGGCAAGTGGAGAAGCAGATGGATGCAGGTCTTCATAGCTTTAGCTGTTTCGACGATGAGCTGCGATGCCCTGCTGCATATACTACCACAGGTGAATTAAGTTCAGTCAGAACAAATTAATAACTTTTTTTTTATGCTTGGGCCTTGTCGTTTGAGGATGATGGCCAAGCACCCAAACCACAACTGCACTGATTCGTCAAAAAGTCTTGAAATTTTGCAGGCACTACAGGCATTAAGCTGAAAGTAAATGCTCTTCCAGGGTCGCGTGAGGCGAGATAACGCTGACCCACGACCTTTTGAGAAAAAGCAATCTCATGGAATAAATGATCAAAACCAAGAATAATTAGACTTCCCAGGCAATCACTGCAAGTATCACAGGCAATACTGCTTACTGATGCGCTTGCGCTCTCTGTATCAGGCTTCTCGATTCTGGGTTGCATTTGTTTAGCTAGTACCCACCGTCTGTTTTGTGCATGTACTCCACCACTTCGGCGGCTGCCTGAGTGGGGATCGTTTGCATTTTTACGAATTTCACTTACTGATACGAGACGTCCATTGGTTGTAAGCAAGGTATTTCACTGCTCTTTGACCCAGTGTTTGAACTTACTGATAACTAATTTTCAACTCACTTATCAGTCAGTGAAACCTACAGAAATGAAAATAAACCCCGTTGAAACATGGTGTACATAAACCGCGAATTTTGGACACTAATTAAAAGCACGCAACTCTGGACCGAGGAATCTGGCATTACTGACCCCGGTATGAGCTTCCAATAATGTAGTCACATTATCTCCTTACCTGCATTGTCCGTATGTGCCGCTTTCTTCAAAATCCATTTGCTCAAAAGATTTATTTCATGGTGCAGTGGATTTACGTTAAATGCTAGTCTGCCATGTGCTGAGAATCAGGATACTGAAAGTTTTCAAGCACATTCTCTGCAGCATTCCGGCAATGGTGCCCGCTAAAACACTGTATGGAGAAACTGGCACAGATACCTCATTGTTCAGAAGAGTTGGCATACAGATTAGGGGGAGTATTAGTGCTCTAAAAGTACGGAAACTGCTAAGCCACTGTGTGAAACATGAATAATGGCTTGACTTAAGGCGAATGTAATTTTTGTTTTGAAGATATTGGGAGCGCACCATCACGGACATCACGAGGACCACGGAAGTGATCTTGAGCGTGAACACCATCACCACCAACATCATCACCAGCACGAGGGCAGTCATATTCATGATCATGGTCAACAGCAAGAAGCTGCCTTCGACCAACTTGATAATCGAACAGGACACCATCATCATCACTCCCGTCAGGTTGTCATACTATTTCTTAGATTTCTGTTTTGAAGTATATAATTAGAACTTACAAAACAGTTTTTTACCGGCTGTGTTTTTATCACCTTCTAGACCTATACCTATGACTAGTATGCGTAAACCAGTTATCACATAATATAACTTGCACCAACGTTACAATACAGGTAGGGCAGAATGCTCAAATATGAAGGAATAGAAGTGATAAAGAAGAAGATAAAAGATAATCGTAGCTGACATGTGGAAGAAGAGGTTGTAATAGAAGTAAAATGGCAGGAGGATTTTCTTTATATGCAGGAATGACCAAAGATGATAAAGTTACTACAGCAGTGGGGATTGGGTATCTTAAGGTTAAATGGTTTAAGACATCTTGTGAAATAAACGAAGAGGATGATAAAATACTGCATAACAGGTAAGTTGTGACATATTAGCAGAAGGCAATTGACCATTTATGTGTCTTTGTAAAAGTGCAAACGCCCGACAGATAATAATTGAATAGAAGGGATTGGACTAAGTGTCATGTGTAAAAAGATATGTTAGGATGAAGTCTGTCTTTCATCTCTTAGCCATAAACACAGACCGAAAAAGTTTGATCTACCGAAATGACTGTGGTAGATGGCTTCCGAAAAAGCTATCACTGTTTCAATAATATTGAGGATACCACGAGGTTAGAGCAACTGAGCTGCTGCCGAAATTTTGATACTTCCAAATGAAACTGGCCTTCCTTCTCTGACTTTTCCATTTATTAGTCTAATAGTTTTTACATTTCAGCTTTTCATAGGCTAATTACCTAGTTGATATAAAAGTGGCCTTCACACTTACAACTGCAACCACGGTTAATGTGTAACACAGAAACTCATTTACTGAGATAAGTGAAAATTTTTATGGAATCTTAGAGCCAAAGAAGATTAGAAACCATATTTTGAGTATATTAGGAGCGATGAATGGTACCCAAGTGTTCCACTTCAGGACGCGCACGGTTCTGATGATCACGCAATGCTTCTGAAAATGGCCACTGTGGCTGCAGCTGTCTATGTGCTATACTTGCTTGAATTCGTTTGCTCACTGCCGGTCTGGAAAAGTAACAAAGTAAGTGCCTTGTTCTGTTATGTTACACGGCCCGGTGTCAAGTTGTTTTCTTGAAGTGCAGAGGCAACGCAAGCCGTAAAACTGAAACACCACGGGTTTAACGGCTAGACAAAGTGATGGATGACAAATTGGAATAAGAAACGCAACTCAACTTTGAAGAACTGGACGCAGCACCGTTCAGCGTTTTGGTGGATTTCAGTAACATCTCGGTTTCCCACTAACAATTTGGGCAACCCATACGATTTAATAAATTGAAACATCGCTGCTTAGAATTGTCGTTCTTATTTCACTCTTCCCCCCGAACTGCTTTGTTTTTAAATCATCAAATTCTCTTATATCATTCAGTTATTATTCAATTCTCTTATATCATTCAGTTACTAGTTTCAGTTATCTCCTCAGACAAGCAGTCTTGCCAGCCTGTGATAGCATATATGAGCTTCTGCTTCTAAAAAGACATTTTAAAAAGAGCAGAATGAATTCGAAAGTGTTTCTCCTAGTATTAGTTACTGCAAGCAGAAATACTGCAAGCGTGTTCTCTTCAGTTTAGAATTTGTGATGCAGTTATTCTATTTGCAGATGGGTTATGACGCACAGCTACCTCGTATTTAGAGGATTTTTTCTTGATGTAAATGCTTTCGTCGCAGCTATAGCGTACTACTTAAAAATGCCAGAAAGCGCAAAAAATTACGCGAAAGCAAATTCAAGAGATACTAGCGGACTGACTGTTGAGATATTACAGTTTGGTCACCTTTTCCACCTACGAAAATTACGAAAAACTTGCTAGCAAAGCTGGCATCGAGCAAACACATTACACTGGAAGAGTAGCGTGTTAAAAAAAGAAAACGACCGGTAAGTCAGTACTTCTGTTATAACTGCAAAAATTATGGCGTTTGCAGAAAATAGTGGATATTTCGAAAGCTGAAAAAGGCTCGAACCACTTACATGATGGATGGTCTGAAAGCGAAACGTTAGTCGGAAAATTTAAAAATCTTTTACATATGAAATTTTATAAAATTTCAAACCGCAAGTTTCGAGTTTTTTAAATTCAAAACGGAAATTTCAAGCGAAACTTTAGAAATTTATAGGAAGCGTCAAAAATTATCCCTCACATCAAAAGGACAGTGCTGCAGTTTTTTATGCGTTGCAGCTATGCAATGCGAAAGCGCATATTGGCAAGGGGCTGTCTGTGTGTGTGTCTGTGTGTGTGTCTGTGCGTGTATGTGTGTCTGTGTGCATATGAGTGTCTGTGTGTGCGTCTATAACGAGTTTTCATCTCGAGATCCACAAAAGCTACAAGGCTGAAGATTTGGTAACTTAATCTACACATACGTGCGGGCTCGTATCCTCAAAAGAGACGCCCAGGTCCGCGTGGTTCTCACGTGAGGGTGCGTGAAAGTCTTTTGACGGGAAAGCGTTTCCGGGGACGGCCCATGCTAGGAGGATGGAACTTCACAGAGATGTTCCTTGGCCGAGTCTAATCCAAAGATCTCAAATTCAGCCTTCTTGTGCCCCTAGGTCTCACATACGCGCACGTCAAAGTTTAAACTGGCATCATGCCAGCTCCAGCTTTCAGCTGACCAATAAATTGCAGGGAGCTGCAATTTTGCAGCGTTTCTTATCGCCCACTGATGTGCCTGTGAAAGTAAATTGAACTTTCCAGCTTCTCTGCATCTCACGTAAGAACTCGTGAAAATTTCAAGCATGCGCTTTTTTAGCTTCAGAATTAAATCAACCAGAGGATCTGAACTTTCTAAGCATAACCGACCGTGTCCTTTGACCAGACGCACACAAAAACGACCTACACATCACTTTCACATCTCACGTGTATTTCACGCCTACACGCGTAAAATTTGACTTAACTTCGTAACCAGGTCAGTTGGAGCGCTGAAATTTTCTGAGAATTACCCAGGGCCGCGTTTGAACAAACGCGAGCGAAGAAAGCATTCACGCTGCCGCTCATTTACAAATACGTGAAATTTGACGTAACCCCGCAACCAGAGCAGCTTGAGCACTGAAACTTTCTGGACGCTATCCAGGAACGTGTTTGAACAGCAATAGGCGAAGAAAGCATTCACGTCGTTACTCACATACAAACACGTGAAGTTTGACGCAACTCCGCAACCGAAGCATCCAGAGCGCTGAATTTTTTGGGCATGGATTGGGAGTCATTATAATAA